GATCTCCTGCACAAGGCCCCCGTGTTAGAAGCTCTCGGAGCAAAGTATGAGAGCCAATGCCTCCTCTGACAGCCGCTCGCTGATGTTGCTCGCACCTCGAGACGGAGAGCCGAAGCGAGAGCAACAACAGAGGCAAGTTCCAGCAGCACTTGCAAAGTGGCCTGGCGGCGTGGCGAGGGACGACTGGATGGCTGAGCCTCGGGGCATTCCCACTGCGGCGCCGGAGCTGTAAGCCGACACTCGCGCACTGCACATTGGGCGATCGATGAAAGGGGCGAGGGGCGAACGGCGGCTTCAAGGGAACTGATCTTCGCGCCCTCACCGAATCTCATGAGGGCAATGCAAAAAAGCACCTCAGCGGCCAGAGGTCCAGAAGATTTTTGAGGACACTGCTGCACCGGGATGCTGCTGATCACTTAGACTTCGAAATCGCCCAACTTCTGCCCAGCAGCTTGCTTCATTAGGAGCTGCATGGATGGCGCAGCCATGGTCGTCGTACTGTTCGTATGATAACGGACCGAACGTCTGCAAAAAAGGCTGCGGCGGTTCAGCGAGACTCCAGACACGTTCAAAAGCAAACGTAGCAAACCAGGCAAGTTGACATCGCTTGACACGGGCCACGAGAGATTCACAATGACCTGACTCAGAGCTGGATCCCGTCATCCCTCCGAGCTCCTCACGCTTACATTGCTGTAGCAGGATACAGTGAACGATACCATTCATTAATGGTCTGTACTGCGCGCTCTGGCGTTTGCGCGATTCCGGATGCTGTCTGAGTGTGCGGAACTAGCTCGAGGGCAGCACGGATTCTCTGGCACGCCAGTGCACTGTCAGTGTAAAGATAAGCGGATTGGGTAACTCCGGCAAACATGGTGCGCCTACCCAGGGACAGTTTCATCAACATCGATTCAGCAACAACAGCCACTATCGCAATCGTGTTGGTGGAACGCAGGTGGCGAATCTGCATCTTCGTCAGAGTCATACTTTCGTGGTCTCGTTGCTTCGATATCTTCGTTCGATTTCGCAGTTTTTGAAGATATCTCATGAAACCATAAGGCAGCGTTCGGATCTGGTACCCATGCAGACGCGCCGAGCCTCGGGCGGAAACTCGGCGGAACAGGCCTGATCCCCTCCCCTCGAGCCACTTTGGGCTCGCCCTCTCCGTCAGAGCCGACAGCGCGACATGAGCAGAATTCAAGGGAGTCGACGGAGAAGGCTCAGCCGAGAAATATGCGGTCCGGAACATGTTACACTCTCTAAACACGACTCTTGCCTGAAGCTGGAATGCTGTTTGACGGCGTTTTCAGGCGTTTGGGTACCAGAAGTAGGCCGTCGCACTGACAGACAACACGCTGTCAATGTCCTCAATGCAGAAGCCACGGAAAACCGCTTCGCAGTCGATCATGAACAATGCTCACAGGAAAGGCTTCGAAATAGAGCTGCAAGCTTTTGTTGCTGGGCCAGTGTGGAGTTTCCGACCAGAGTGTTCGTCTCTCCTTCGAAGCTTCCGCAGGCACCCATCATCCCGGTGTTCTGCACACGTCAACAACGGCTGTGCTCTGCAGTAGAGAAGTCAACAAGTGTCTACCGTGAGTGAAGTTCGCGTGGCAAGCTTTGGCCATGCAGCGGGGTACACCACCGACCAAGTATACCAATTTCGAAACCGGATAGGGACATTCAGCAGAGACCCTATCTTCATGTTCACGGCCCTTCAGGCCTAGGCCTAGGCGGAGTTCTACTTCCCGCCCTCACTGGTGAATTGACTTTGTTGTCGATCCGCTTCTGCAGGGGCACAGCTGCAGTGGGGGCCACTGGTTGAGCAATCCTAGATCAACTGCCACATGAGCTGTCGAAAACAAACACACGATCTGTTGCTCGGGTCTCCTATGTCCGAGAGGCCTGGACATCTGCCTGGAGCTCTTTCAGCTTCTTGAGCTCAGCCAGCCTCCGAGAGAGAAGTCCTAGCAGTCTCAAACTCCTACAGGTCTCGAGCACTTGCCGGCAGCACGTGCTCACCGATTGATTCTGACTTAGCAAGACTAGACCTGCAAGCACAGATTCATGGGTTGGAGGAACGCCAAGTAAGAAGTGTCGCTCTCAGCGAGATGTTGTCTTGAACAGCCGAAACAACCTGTGAGCGTCACGAAACCTCAAGGGCCATTGTTGGCTACTTTGAAAACACAGACACGTGCCTGACACCCATCGGGAGGTCTTCGCCGAGTCTGGCATACAGCTCCTCAAGCCTCACCGCAACGAAAGACCCAAGAAGTAATGGCTTTACGGGAGCTGGTTTTCATAGCTTGTGCATCCACCTGCCCTTCAAGGTCAACTTCTCATGCCACGGGGAATGTGTGCCCAACCTGCCCAGGACTTCCACTCTCTCGTTCTTCTCCTGTCATGTGTCGTGCCTAGTGATTTTGGAAGCCGGAATGCTTGTGGGCAGAGGCTACAGATCCCTACTCGATCGGGATAGTCACCTTCTCTACCCAAACTCCTGGCCCTGCCCCCATTCTCAGCATACTGCAGTATCTCAAGCGACTGTGCAGATACACATATATACATACATACATATATATATATATATATATATGTATGTATGTATGTATAATTCTACGTGTGTATATACCTATATATATATATATATATATATATATACATATATATATATATATGTGCCAGACTTGAGCAGCTGCTCCTCACGCCTCACAACCCAAGGCCGCTCAAAGACGCCTTTCAAGCACAGACAGCACCTGAGAAGGTACTTTTCGGGCATTTAGTGTTACATACGATAGTAGAGTCAGATAGGACCTTCCAGAAGATACTACCGTCACCAATTATTCAGACCCGACCATCACCCGGCCTGCAGCTGCTTCACCTGCGCATCAGGCATTGTTGGGGATCTTCGGCTTCCGCATGCAGAGACGTGCGTTGCAAAGTCGATGTTGGGGATGCGGTAGAAGACGCTGTCACAAACCCGTATATATTGACATACAGACGCATACACAAACACACACACATATATATATATATATATATATACATATGTATGTATACATGCATACATCTTGTTGTTTATTTATTTGTTTGCTTATAGCCCGGCTGTTGCCAGTCTCGAATGCCTTCTCCTTGTCGCCGACCCCCCGAGACATGTTCTCATCCATGCCTCGGGAGCCGAGGTTTGGACACTTAGTCAAAGCAAGAGTCCTGCATCATCAGATGGTATATCATCATTTCAATAGTATGGTATATTACAATTACTATGGCTATAACATACACTATAATATGCTACTGTATTGCAAATTGCAAGGAGAGACCGCGGCCCCGACGCTGCTCTGCGCGGGCAGCTGCCGTCCTTCTGCGCTCTTCACGCTCAGCCTGCATCGGTGCAGGCTGCCTTTACCCCCATGCCGATGAACAGTGTGAATCCTGCAACCAAAGACAACAGAGAGCGAGTTTTCGATGTAGTGCCTGTGCCAGTCTTAGAGAATCGGCTGCCTCGCCGACTGCAGCGTCGGTTTTTGGGCCTGGACTGGAGATGCAGAGGTCTGGAACAGGCCGTCAATATCTGTCTGTACAGCGAGGTTTTCCTGCCAATTATGCCAATAATTATGCATTACCACATTGTAACTTTGTCTTGCCACGACGAACCTTGCGAGTATTGCGGTCTCCCACAATTCTACACGCCCGAGTGCCGAAGGCTTCTTTTCCATCGTCATGGCCGCAGAGTCCTCATCAAAGCCGCAGCGCGGCAGTGCGAGCCGCCCAAGCACAGGTAGTCGCTGCCGACTCCGAACTTCTCACCTTTTTGACAGGATCAGGGTTTAAAGTTTGGGATTGTTTAGGGTTCAAGTCTTAGGTTCTGGGTGTCGCAGACAGCAGCGACTACCTCATCGCAACTCCTGCGCTGAACGAGACTTTTCTGAGTATCGTCTGCGGGATATGCATGATTTCCATGGAAAATGCGCTGGTCCATGGTTGCGTGTCCAGCAGTACTACCCGGGGCTCCCTGCAGAAGGCCGTCTCGCATCGCAGCCTGACAAAGTAGTTGCAACTTCACTAGGAATGGTGATGAGTAGTAGTCGTCGTCGCAGTAGTAGCAGTTGTCGTGGTATAGTGGTAGCGGTAGTCGTAATCGTAATCGTAGTACTGGTACCAGTAGCAGAAGTAGCAGCAGTGGTGGTGGTGGTGGTGGTGGTGGTGTTGGTGGTGGTGGTGTTGGTGGTGGGGGTTCGGCTGTTCCTGCTCAAGCAGGCAGAAGAGCAATCGCGAGCTGACTGCCGACGAAGGGTAGCAGCATGTGTGTGTGTGTGTGCATATATGTATACATATATCTGTATGTATGCATACATTCGCACGTATAATATAGAAGCCTCATTATCCAACAATCTACCTGCCTGCCTACCTTCCTGCCTGTGTTGATACTATACATGGTTGTATGGCACTACATACTGGACCATGCATCCATTGCATACTGTACCATCGTGCAGAATTATCCGTACTGGTCTGCATGAATCTGTGTCATCTGCTCCCTGGTACAACTCTACCCATGCATGTATACATATATATATATATATATACACACACAGACACACCCCAGCGCACATGCAAATAGAATAAGAGTATTTGCGAGAGTCAAAACACCTTCTTGCTGCCCTCTGTGGTATTTCCACCGTAGCAGTGTATCGTCTTCCTGCTAGTATATTTCGAGAGTCGAAGCACCATTCCCGGATTCAGTTGAGGAGTTCTTTGACCAGGTGTCCTTTTGGAAGGTCCTGTAGTTCAGGATACCTGCTATTCAGGGTCTATGTCGGTATCCCTCTATTTATCAAGCTCCTAGTTCTGTCCGGCTGGATCGAGCCTGGGGGCCGAGAGGACAAAATAGCAGATGAGAGCCAAGTTGCACGAGAAACAAGAACCAACCACCCTTCTAGCAGTTGTATGGTTTTCCTGGAGAGTCCGACCATGTCAACGTAGAAACCGATGCTTCTTCATTTATGCTGCTACCCTCCCCTAGTCCGCCCCAACCACCGAAGTCTGACAGGCGAGTTCCGAGATCGCCTAGAAGACGCATAGAGTTCGGTGCTGGTCGTGTGCTGGGCAGGCTCCGGGGTCTCCTTCGGCACAGGACAGGCTGCTGCAGTCGCGACGTGAGCTCGTGCAGGAATCGAAACGACGCACGGAATGGAAACGAGAGGGCCTCCAACCGCCAGAGCGGGACCTCGCAGGTTCAAAGGGCATCAGTCCAGAGAGTTGATATCATCGTTTCTCAGCATCAGTCGGATGTCCGGCCTCGTGGTGAACCAGCGGAACCCAGAAGTGGTTGCTCGACAAAGGCAGGCGAGTCCTTGCAACACCGAGTTCGGCTTGAACCTCAACACTGGGTCCCTTAAAGAGACGGTACCTGTCTTCGTCTTCGTTACCTGTGACATGGACCTTTCATCGTTTCACAGGGCTATCGCAGGCAGGGAGACCCTCAGACCCCAACATTCCAGGGATGCCTTAGGAAAAGCTTGGGCGCATCTCCATGAAGGCCAGGTAGAGCATGTAGCAGCATTTCAGGTGGTCGTAGCTGTGTCGGTCGGTATACTCCCAAGCAAGCACCATCCTGAAGCTGAACTAGTCCAACTACCAGGCTTCTACAACTGACATCCCTGGTAGAAGTACGACATAGTTACATAGTTGTACTCAGATAACGTAACAAGCAGTAGTTCTAGCTAGCTGTAGTACCTCGAACACAATAACAACTGCATACTGCTACGGCAATCGGACCAGGGCAAGTTCGATCCTGCCAGGGGGCTGAAGCAGCAGCTCGCATCGGGCCTTCACCAGGGTCAGGGTGCACTTCCACAAGCTTGGATCCAGCTCCTCGGAGCGGCTTGCCACAGCTACTGTACGGCCAGAACACTACTACTGCTAAGGCTACGTCAAAGGCTATTACTCAACCTACTCCTACTCCTGCCCCTGACTCCTACCACTACTACCACTACTACTACTACTACTACTACTACTACTACTACTACTACTACTCCTACTACTACAACTACTACTACTACTACTACTACTGCTGCTACTGCGACGACTACTACTGCTGCTGCTGCTACTACTACTACTACTACTCCTCCTAGAAAGTAACTACTACTGACACCACCACCACCACCACTAAGACCACTACCACTAGTACTAGTAGTAGTACTAGTAGTAGTACTAGTACTAGTACTAGTACTAGTACTAGTACTAGTACTAGTACTACTATTACTACTCTACTGCTACTACTACTACTACTACTACTACTACTACTACTACTACTACTAGACTACAACTCAGTCCCAGTGCGACGAAGACGACACGGCGACGACAACTACTACTGCTATTGCTGCCACGAAGGCTACCACGACCACCACGATCAACACCACCGCCACCACTACAACGGCTAGTACTGCTACTGCCACTGCGTATCTACTTGCGTAAATTTACTGCCATTGTCAACAGACTTCTGGCCCTGATGCCCCTGTCGCGAACACCAAATCAGGTAGGTTCCAGGCCAAGACACCTGGGTGCACCAAACGCCGCACCAGTACAAAGGCAGTGCCAGGTGCAAATACCTCCACTTCAGGTTCGAAGTCGAGCTTTCTGACTGCACTTGGAGGAACAACCTTGTTGAGACTTTGATTGGAGTACGACGGACTGCTTGGATGAGCTCCTAGAAAATGCCTTCATCGGGAGTTCGCCCTCCAGAGTCGCTGCTCGCTGCAAACCGTCCGGAATCAAGGCTTCCAAAAAATCACTAGGGATCTGGTCCCTATCAAGGCACCCCCACGCTTTTTTAGGAAACTCCCAAATCCCAGCAACCTCCCAAGCCTCCCTCCAATGCAAAGCCCAAACCCTAAACCCAAATCAGAACAGTTCCAACATTTTCCCAAGCCTTAAAGCCTCCAATCCCCGAGGGCACCAGGCAACTTCTCGTTCTCGCCAGGTGCAGTCGATAGCCGAGGCCATCTTGGATTCTCTGGGAAAGGATTATCATGGGATTCGACAGATAGAGGCCTTAATAAGTAGAGCAGTGTTTGGAGGCATATTGTCGTATAACCTGGGCATGAAAAGTAGAATAGCTCTGAATAAGGCTTCGGGGTATAGTAGAAGTGAAGGTAAGTGTACTGAGGAAGCCTTTAGACTAGTGTTGGTACTTGATTTTAGGCCCCTACATCATCAGACAGCCTGGGTAGCTCGAAACTTGCCATGTTGGAGCCGGGTGATGCAACTCGGAGTAGGTCTCCTAAACCCTCAACCCTACTTAGAAGAAGCTTTTGTCACGAAGATCTGCCTGCTAAAGGGCACCCTGCTATAGAACCCCATAGCCCTAAAGTGCCCTTAAAGGGGGCCCTATCACAGAACCTTAGGGTACCCTTTACAAGGAACCATATAATACCCTTTAAAGGGGACCTATCTTTGTCACAGAACCCTATCGCACCCAAAGGGGACCCCATCATAGAACCCTATAATGTAGTACCCTTTCATGGGATGGGGGGTTAGGAGAAGAGACGCAAGTCAACGAGCGGCTCGGCGCGTGTGGCTAAGGATTTCCTGTAAAAGCATCGCAGATTGCAGGCCGGCCTCCGCAACTCCCGGAAGTGGTGGGGCTTCGGGGTGAGAGCTGCTGAGATGCTGTTGGGATTTCGTTGCATAGAGCTTTGAGGGCCTTAGAGTTTAGAGTTTCTTCGGGGTTCGAGAGTTTGTAGATTTGGGGTTTCGAGGGGGAAGGACTCGCAAGCAGGCGAAACTTTCATCGCAAAACTGTAAACGTGTTTGGAACCGAAGACAGGACATACATTCCTATATCGTTACGTTTCTGATAGTTGCAGGCTTACTGAACTTCGTAGCAGGGGCTCCTCCAAGTAGCAGGGTGCATGAATCTACCGGGATGTCGGCTGAAGTGGTCATTGGTCCTGGCTTGGCCTGTAACTCAGGTTTTGGGGTTTGGGAGGTGTCCGATCGTTTACGGTAGGCTGACAGGAGTAATTTTGTCTACACCGGGTGACCTGGAGTAGGAGACCGAATGCACTATCCCTGGGCCCTGACCATCCCTAGCATATAGTGTTGTGGCTGGGATGTTGTCTTGTGGGCCTTACAACAATACGAATAGGATCGTAAACATAATCCTGGTCATAATAACCGAAAATAGCAACAATCTTAACGAAACTTATTATAAGCATAATTCGGGCAAATTTCATCATCATTGCTATCGTCGTGGCAGTTATTGTTGTAGCCATTATTGCCATGTGTATTGTTATTACTCTTATTGTTGTCATTATTATTGTTCTCGTTGCCGTTCTCGCTATTCTTACGATTACAATGTTATTACCACTAGTGATAACATGTACATAACAGTATTGGACAAAGTCATCATCATGCTCAACAAAACTAGTATGGATACAGCTGATGCCTTCGCAGGCAGTTCCGATTTTCAGGCGAGTGAATAGGAGTGACACGAGATTGGAGCCTCTTTGGGCTCATCGCGAAGCTCCTGCATCTCGTCCCGCAGCTTGCTATCAAAGGCGTCCTCTGGCGGATACACAGAGTCACCGTGATACCGTGGATAGCAGCTCGCCAAAGTTGTAGTATCTCTCCTTTGAAATGTCCTTAATTTGGAGTTTCTGGACGAAAACCTTGCCACCCAGCTCGTCTCGCGCACGCGTGCACGCAGATGTAATCAGCATGAGGTTCACCCTGCGCAACGTTATGCATCAGCTGATGTCAGGCTTCTTCGCAGGAGCATTCGACACTTCGCAGATCACCCGAGACCTGCCTTATGAGCAATTGCCCTGCCTAAGTTCGATTGCATCGTACATGCGACGGGCATCTTCGGCATCAGCAGGCAGGCTTTCTCACAGGCTGAGCTCAGCTGCAGCTTCCGTGCTAAACTCGAACAGCACAAAACCTGCATCATGAGCATCAGCTCCTCCTGGTGCCAATCGCTTCAGCAAACCGGATAAACATCATCGCATCAGCTACCCTCCAGTTTCCCGAATTCACGGCTCCGGCAAGTTTAACCTGTCGGCATCACCTACTTGCGATCTTCCCTGTTCAGGCAGAGCAGGCCAGCATGATCAGCGCGCTTCTCTGCTGCTCACCGATGGAAAGCCAGAGAACGTCCATCATTTACATCAGCACCTGGTGACTTCAGTCCCCGCACAAGAGCAGCATCATGAGCTGCCAACTGCTTTCGCACAGCCCCAGGCCCGCTTCATGTGCATCAGCTCGATTTCCGCTCTTCAAACGCCGCCTCGAAGAAGACCCTTCATCAGCATCAGCTGCTCACTTTTCGCCGCTTGCATCGTCATGCTTCATTAACATCAGCACCTCATCGGCTCGTCCGCTGCAAGTCCTGCAATTATGCGCTGATTAAGTCTTCAAGATGCAGAGTCAGCTCCCTCTCGGTCCATCGCATCTTTGGATGCCGCCGCAGCTTTGGTTCCTCTGGCACATGCAATGGGTTGGGGGCGGCGCAGCCTCCGTCATAACAGACGGCATAAGCATCGGCAAGATAATCAACTCGATATGCTGCACCGGAACGGACTCGCCAAATCCGCTACAACACCCTTGTGCCGGTCCTGGAAGAATCTCAGCTTCCTGAGCCACAGCCGAATGCGAACACAGCTTCTTCACACCGGCGAGTTGATGCCAGTCTGCAGACAAGATGCAAATCTACACCTCTCACAGCGGCAGGAAAATCCCATCGCCTGAACCGAGGACTCTCGCCATAGACAAGCTTGAACACTGCTGTTGCTCTCCAGTAGTTCCTCCGAACGTTCGCGGCGACGATGGAGCGAGCCGCTCACCTCACAAGCAAAACGCACAAATACCCAAACGTTCATACGTTGCTCTGTCTGAAGGTCGGGTTCATGTTGGGCTTTCGCAAAACGCTTCTTTGCACATAAAGACACACTTGCGGTTGTCGTTGCGATGACGACTACCGTGGTTGGGATACTGTTGGTGATCACCGGGACTGCTATGCCTACGTATTCCAGTGATTCTAGTAATAAAATTAGCTTTGCACCCGTTTTCCGGCCCAACCTCTTGCCTTGCATCGTGCAAGAGCAGCTACCGTGAAACACTGCACGGCCTTAAAATAGGGGAAGAAGATCTCGGAGCCTGCATTGATCTCCTCCATCCAATTCAGCAGCGATAACGTCTAACCATGGTGCCAGGTCTCTCGAAGAGGGTCCAACTGCGGTATGCAGTCAAACTCCGTCCCTCTGACCCTGAGAGCTCTAAGAGCATCCCTGAAGAAGTGATCGCGGCACAAGTCTGAAGAGAAAACCATCTGAACCCAGACAGTCTCCGTCTCCGCCCGGAAGAGGATGGCGTCCCCTAAGGGGTCCAGAATGTTCGCACTTGCATTCACATTGCCACAACCTGGGGCTTGAACAGGGTAGTAAACGATCATGTGCATGTAAGCCGCGTGTTGTAGCCACAGTTCGAGACACGCGAGAAGCCCGGATCTACCAAACCGCCTTGACCTCCCAGCTTTCTCGTGCCGGCCAGTGCAGCATAAAAATCAAACCAACAAGCGGTTGTCGTGCAAGCCGTGTCTATGGGAGTACCTGAGTATGGAATTCTGCTCAGCAACCAAGCATAAGCATTGTAGCAACGTAGTCGACTCGGCGAGAGTGAATGGGTTTCAGCTCTAGTGTTGCTGGTACGGCATCTCAGGATCAGTGGAACATAGCTAGAGGCGGCAGAACACAGCCTCAATGGATATAGCTCCTGACGAGCAAGGAGTTGTGCAATCGTGGGGAGTACTCAGCCGAAAATTAGAATCCTCAAGCCACAAGAACGACGAAACCGCGACCAAACAGCTCAGATGACTTCACCGATCAGAACTGACACGGATTTGTGCTGCCATAGCCACTATGATTGATCATGGATGGCAGCCCGTAGATTGCCGTCTTAGAGTTCACGTGGAAGGAGTTCCTTGTTTCTCAAGCTGCACCGTCTGTACCCCTTGTAGTGGGGCGATGCTGCTACGAGTCAAGGACACGTAAGTGCCAGTTCCAGGAATGCAGAAACTGAACTTGCTTCATAGAGTCCTGTCCACCACGTTCACCAACACCTTGTGCAGACATGAACAGGGTTTCGGCGTTCAGCTTCGCGATGCTGATAAAAAAGCACATGGCATAAACTCCATATATCCTGCGCACACACACACACACACGCACGCACACTTCTCCTTTAGGTCTACCGACTCGATCTATGCATTGATGCATGTCTGTATTAGCATTGTACGTATGTATGTATATACGTGCGAATGAATGAATGAAGGAAGGAAGGAAGGAAGGAAGGAATGAATGAGTGACGTGCATGTATCTATGTATCTATGTATGTAAGTATAAGTATGTATCTAGGTAAGCATGTATAGATGTATGTATGTAGAGTGAACGTCCTGTATAAGAACCCACTATTTAAGAACCTTAGCCCCTACCCCCGGCAGGATTCACGAAACTCAGGTTGCTTCAAACTTAAGAACCGTACCCTGGCTTTCATCAGGCTCTCATTTTTGTTGGGTGGAAGCCGTTTCGTTGTGGCTTGGCTTGTCATGAAACACCAGAAACAAGAACCTTAGGGAGATGGGCAAAACATATCAGTTTCAAAAACTACCTCGAAAATGGGGCAGGGCAGCCAAGCAGGGGTCGGGCAGGCAAAAGCAAGAACGGATTAGTGTCAGACACTAACTCCAAAACGGAAAATGCAAGGTTGCGCATGGCTGGGCTGGGGCAGTGCAGGCAGGAGTGAGGTTGGGTCAGCGGCAAAATCGAACTCGTGCCAGTACTCCCAAAATGTACAATGCAAGGTTGTGCATGGCTGGGCCGGGGGGCTGCGCAGGCAGGGGTGGGCAGGGGTGGGAGTAGGGTTGGGGGCAGGGGTGGGCAGGCCAAAACGAATTAGAGTCAGACACTACTTCCAAAATGGAAAATGCTGGGTTGTGCATTTTTGGGCACGGGAAGGAGAAGGGGGACGGGAGAAACCAAGGTCTGCTGCAGTGCCTGCATAGCTCAGCGGTGTCGCGCTCGTCTCACAACCAGACATGCACTGGTTGAATTTCTGCTTGGGGCAGAAAACGGACTAGTTTGAGACACTAACTCTAAATTGAAAAGCGATGGGTGTGCATGGCTGGAGTTGGGGCAGGGTAGGGAGAGGTGCTGGGCAAAGACAAAGACATGGAACATGCGGGGTTGTGCAGGGCAGGGGCAACGAGTTAGTGTCAGACACTACTGTCAAAATGGAAAATGCCGGGTTGTGCATGGATGGGCAGGGCAGGGCTGGGGGCAGGGCGCAGGGGTGGACAAAGCCAAAAACGAGTTAGTGTCCGACACTAACTCCAAAATCGAACGTGCCGGTTGTGCCTGGCTGGGCAGGGCAGGGGGAGGGCAGGGTAGGTAAGATCCAAACAAGAATGCGGTAAGAACCATAGCCGTAGCCTACCCTAACTACTCAACCGGCAAAACCAGAGGCAATGAATAAGAACCTGGGGGTAGGCTACTGTCGCGGGATAGGTTTCTTATAGAGGGATTCCACTGCATGTGTACATGTTTGCATGTGTGTTCATGTGTGTATTTATGTCTGTGCACATGTGCATATGTGTATATTTCTGTGTTTGCATATGCAAATGTATTTATATGTGTATATATGTACATAATTTGTATCTCTGTGTATATATGCATGTACATGTGTATGTATGCGGCATGACTATGTATATGTACATACAAGCATGCGGTCACGTGCGCGCAGTATCCAAATCCGCAGATTTGGCGCCTCCCTCGTGAGGAAGCTCCCGAGTGGTTCCGTCGGCAAGGTGTCCGGCTGCGGCCACAGAGCTTGCGAAACAACCGCCAGGGTAGGAGGAGCACGTGATGTCCAGCCGTCCTGGGAGGCCACGAGTGTAAGCAAAGTCTTGAGCAATCAGCACGAATTCCGACACTTCTGTCGAAGCTGCGCCATCCTGATGCATCTGCCCTCGACAGCAAGAGCAGTGGCGAGCATCCATCTACGACTGAGACGAGCAACAAGTATCACAGTACAATGCTGGCAGAGAACGGCACCGTGCTCGTACTGGTTATATGTGCATATACAGGCACAACATGCAACGTGTCCTTATGTGTATGATATGATACGATTCGGTATAAACTCACTCGCACATAGGCACGTGAAAACGCATGCCCATATTCATCCCAGTGTCTGTCAGGCATTGCAGCTGGCAGCGGGTTCGTGCAGAGTTTCTACACGCGTCCTTAGTCTCCGGGATGCTTTATAGGCAAAACTGTTTCCAATGCTGTGCCCCAGTGCAAATGGGAAGACTTGAAAAGGCATCAGCGCTAAGCCTTTCCGTTGCTGACGGGAGTCTAACAGCTGCTCCACCAGCTCAGCTGTGGAGTATGCCTCCAATTCTGCTCAGTGTTTTCGCAAGTTGTGATGAGTACTGATGACTCTTCTTAGCTATCGTTCACACTGCACCATGGATAAGTCGGGAACCTAACGATCATTCATACGCGCCCCAGGTACGGCAAAATTATGAACATATTGGTCTGTATTCTTGGGTCTCGGGGGGACACACCATTGCCGGCGTCTTCATGATGGTATGACTGCTAGAAGGATTTGATGCTGACATTCCGCGACCCTTGATTAATTTCGACGATGCGTTACAACATAGCAGTCTTGGCATCGTCAAGGTGCCCAAACGCCGCTGTGAACGGCCAACGGTCTGGACACCAGTAGCACCTCTCCTGATATGGCGTACAAGGGAGTAGCAGAAAACAGGGGGGCGAGGGAACCCGAATTACAGACCCCCCCTATAACTCCAAAACTGTGTCTTACGAAGTCCCACAAGACAGGGCATGATAAATTCGAACAATACATTGAAAGTAGCGGAAAAAACAGAAATTGCATAGACGTACACATGTTCTGCGTTGCTCGTTCCATGTTCTGCTGCCTTCTGCTTTGTTCGATCGTTTCCTATGCTTCCCACTGAGTTGAACTGCTTCGCGGTTTCTGTGGTGTTTCTATGTTGCACAGTGCTTCTTTTGTCGTGCTGTTGTCCGTTTGTTTCAAGTGTTCTTGTTCTTTTCATTCTTGGCTGGTTTCTGTACCTTGAACCATACATCTGATTTTGTAATCTCGTATTCTTTCATTGGTAACTTTCACATATCTCCAAGCCGTCCCTGTCCTCTAAGCGAGATCACAGTCTTGACAGTTTCTCAAACATCCCCAAATACTGTACCCGCATGTTCTGGAATTCTCATATAAGGTGTCGTTAGGTTCAGGTTCCATGCCTCGAACCACAAGACCTATAAAGTCTGTACGCAGGCTGCAGAATGTTACTGCTACATGTCTTTGGGCGGTACTACAATCATTTCCGCCCTACAGTCAAGATCCTGTCCTCATGAGTTTCGGGCTGCCACAGTTAACTCAGCGTGCAACTAGACGTGAACCATCCACATTATCAGCCGAGGGGCCTGGGAAGATGTGGCGGGTGGCGAAAAGCCCGCGCTCACAGCCCTCGTTCCACCTGCGAGCTGGTTGCGCTCCCCAACCGGCCACAGCTGTTGTAACTGTAACTGGGGGAGCAAGCCTCCCTACTGCAGGGAAGCCCCAGAGCACGCTCAATGTGGTCTTCAGCTTGGTCAACCATCTTGACACTTCGATCGCGGCCTTTTCAGCACATGCCACAGAAGACTGCACTGTCGGCGAGCGGCGACAGCGAAAAAGATCCAAAAGATGGAGTGCAAAGTTTGTGCATTCTATCCACGTAGCGACATAGCGTTAAACATCATGTTATGGTTATTCTGTATTCTTCCCTATGTCTGTTCGCAAATTTGTCTCAAATCGACACTCGTCAGCTTTGGCTTTGGGACTTAGGCTGAGGGCTTTTAGTCAAGGCTGCTACAAGGGCGGGGGTTGAAAAGCTGAAAGCCGCGCTTACCCTGGTTTCCCGGCCTGATCTCAACGGGACCCACGAACTCTGCTACAGGCGGAATCTGTAAAGTCCATGTCCAGCTCTCCGGGACCTGGACCGTGGCTTAGGGTCTGGGGTGTAAGGTGTCTCTTGCACCAATGTTGCTACGTAGCGGTAACACGGAATTTCTGATCTCAGTCGAGGGTGCGCTTTCAAACACCAACCCGTATCTTCTCAGAGTGACATACTGCTTATGGGACCTGAAATTACAAGCAGGTGCTGTAGGCTTCTGCCAGCCTGGAGCTCGGGAACGGGATCCACGCCCAAGTTGACACCTGACACCGTAGCCCAGCAAGTCACGGCAGAAGTAGCCCGTCGAAAATTCGAAAGACAAGAATCGAAGGCGATCAGCGCGTGGTGGTTTGGTCCACATATGGGGTTTGAGACGTTTGTATTTTTAGCAGAGATTTTCGGGGTTCGTTGATAAATCCAGTGCCAGAAAACTCGTCGGCTTGACTTTTGCACCATGAACATGGCGCCTTCTTTTTCAAACTCTGTGGGAACTTGCAGGACCTACAGTCTGCGTCGGTGGCTACTCCTGACGACTTACAACGGAGCATGCTTTGCTAATGCTCTGGGAACCAACACCTTTACCTTTGCAGGCCTGTATACCCACTCTCAAACCCTTGCCACCTAAGCCCTCAACCAACAGAATCCCTAGCTCCAATCCTCAGAGTCGATCAACCCCGAAGCTGAAATTATTTTGGGAACTCAAGTTTGCCCTACAACCTGAACCCTACACCCTTGAACCTGAATCCATCTAAAGGTCCACCTCCGAAGAGGTCTCCATCGCCGCGGCTTTGCATCAAGAGCTCTTCGAGCCTTTCGTGCAGAGACTCCACCTTGAGGGCTTCACAACGGGAGGCAATAAGGGTCGGGGGTTTGAACAAATCTGGCTTTTGGGGGGTAAGACTTTTCGACCAGGGAGCTTATGAGGCTATGGGGGGTTTTGTAAGGGTTGGCGACATGAGAGAAAGGATTTATGCTGGGGAGTGGTACGCACAAGGATTTTGTTGCAGGAGTTGAAGCTGATTGAAGACGGTCTGGTAGACCTTGACCTAGGAGCTGAGCCTTCAGGGTTTCAAGTGAGGGCTTGGGGTCAACACTCTGGTCATTGGTGCTAAACGCTAAACGGGACAGGGTCTGATGATGTGCCAGGTTTGAAGAATCAGAAATGCCAAGAAACAGCGGGCAATCGCGGCTTTAAGGATCCAAAACCCTGGAAGCTGTCGAAATACGCGGAGGCCCCTAAGCGCTGCACCATAACCCCGAACCTCAACCGTAAATACTCAACCCCTTCCTTGCGTAAAGAAATGCGAGGCTCCAATAATCCCTTATAAAAAATCGCAGCCCCCCTCCACCCATCCCCCCTCCCCACACACACACACACACACACCCGCACACACACACACACACACACATACATACATCTTCACACGTCTTTAGGTCCCCGGCGGCCGTGAGGCCTTCCGCCGAGCCATCTGGGAATTCTGCGCCCGGTTCCAGTGCCTCCCGCACCAGAGCTGATGCTTGTCTTATTTGCTGCATGCATTTGCATCCACATTAACATTCTTACTTTTGAGCAGCAGTCTTCGTTGTAACCGGGGCAGCGGAAGTTGCCGATGGTGGAGGTGCTGGCGGCGGTGGCGTCATGGTCGCTGTGGTGATGTTCGTCGTTGTCGTAATCGTTTGCATCATGGTGGCCGCAGCAGTGGCCCCAGCAGCAGCAGTAGCAGTCGCCGTCGCGGTGGCAGTGGCAGTAGGAGTTACAGTGGCAGTGGCCGCTGCATGGCCGTGGCCGTAACCGTGGCAGTAGCATTAGTAGTCGTTGTAGCAGTAGCAGTAGTGCCGTAGCAGTGAGTAAAAGTAGGAGGGCATGGTAGGGGTAGGAGTAGGATGAGTAGTAGGAGCAGGAGGAGCCGTAGGAGGAGCAGTAGGAGGAGCAGGGGTAGGAGTAGGAGTAGGAGTAGGAGTAGGTGTAGGTGTAGGAGTTGGAGTAGGAGTAGGAGTAGGGGTAGAAGGAGGGTAGCAGTAGTCGTCGTCGAGTCGTAGTCATAGCAGTCGCGGTAGTCGCAGTAGTCGTAGTTTTCGTTATAAGTAACCGTTGTCGTAGTTTCAGTGGTTCTACTGTGATTTACGATGGCAAGCATTCTGACGCTCATTATTTTGGTCATCATAGCGCTGATGATTTAGCATGCTTGTTATTGGAATGTCGCGGTGCAGTGGAGCCGAGAAGCGTGGAAGTGCTGATGAACCCTCCCAGCCGGGCCTCCTCCAGCAGTTGCACTGCGGTCTCAAGGCGCCCCGTCGCGGCTGCGGCCACAGCCAAAGATGCCCTGCCCTGGCGGCAGGCTTCAAAGTCGAACGGTTAAGGTAAGGTTGTGCGTGCTTTGTGGATCTCCGGAGATTGCATTGTTCCCTGTCTAGGTGAGGTTTTTTTCAGAACCTGTGTGGTGTCGAGGCTTCGGGTTCCGGGGGTCGGACTGCAGTCGACGATGATCAAAAATGTGCTGAGGCTAGCGTCGCATTCAGCCGTCACCACAAGACAACGCGATGTCCTCAATGCGTTACAGCATTCAGTCCTTCGGGGATGCTTGGAACCGTGCTAACCCTAAACTCTCATACCGCATCGCCTTGGTTGAACTCCCTTGCGCAAGACCATCAGCAAATTTCTGAACCACGCCAGAACCCAACAAAAATCGAATCAGACCCTTAGCCCCGACCCTGAACCGAATGCCCCAACACCACAATCTAAAGCGGAGCGATGCAGCCTCCAACGTCGCCAAGATCGAGCCATCGGACCGAAGGAGCTCCTCTCATAGCCCAAAAGATGTGTGTGTGTGTATGCAGGTATGTATATATATATGTATATATATATATATATATATACACATATTACAGAGAGAGAGAGAGAGAGAGAGAGAGAGAGAGACAAAGAGTGAGGAGATGGAGAGAGAGAGAGAGAGAGAGACTTCCACCGATGTAGAGATGGGGATAAACATCGCTGCTGCAGATGCAAGTATAGATATAGACGCATATATGCATATGTACACATATACAGAGAAACACATACGAACATGCATGCATGCACTCCACATGTACATGCTGTGTATACATCGTGTACTTGTTCGTCTTGGTGATATGTGAACGTATGTATAAGAGCATGTTTGTCCGCCCCTAGATGAATCACAGTCGGAATCCCGTGCACGAGGAGACTTGGAAGACCTTTCGTCTTCACAACTGGATCTCAGAAGGTACCCTGTGCTATTGTAACAGGCCCACACTCGCTGGTCATTGCTTCGGACATGCGATCAGATTTGAAGCATGAGTGTCTCCGTATATGTATATGTAGCAACGTAAAATGTATATATGAATACGTACAGTACACACATACGTACCTACATACGTACACACACACATACATAAGCACTCATGCACCTATATCTAGGTAATGTGCCCTTCCATTTTTTGTGTGATCAGACAAGTCCTCGGCTGCTGCCCAAGCGCTGGCCACCTGAGGGGAGCAGGACAGAAATACGATTGCTCGGAGAGAATATCATATATATATATATATGCGTCGTACATACGTACTGTATTTACAAATATGAGCTCATGAGACAGACGGTAGGCAACTAGGTGAATACATATATGCATACATATATATGTGCACACACACACATACATACATACATACATACATACATACATACAGACAGACAGACAGACAGACAGACAGACAGACAGACAGACAGACAGACAGACAGACAGACAGACATATATATATATATATATATATATATGCTACCCCCCCTCCAAAACCCACCCCAGAAGCGACGACATAAATTGCCGAGGTGTGTCGATACAGACGACAATCAGCATGGACAAGATTGCAAAGATCGACGAGCATTGACACCATTCGAACCAAGACAATACCACGAAGTATTGCTTAATGTCCTCTGTATGCTACGCTATTAAACGGCGGGCTCCTCTTGATGTTCCTGATTCAAATCGTGCGCTATAGGGTATTCTATATGCTATTTTAAATGGTATCCCAAAACGTATTCTAGCGGATATTCTATATGAGGTATATTTGAGGTATACGGTGCATATATTACATAGGCGATCTTCTGTAGGATATTCTACTGCACGCTATTCCAGATGGTATTTTATAGGGCATCCTTTAGTGTATTCTATAAGGTACTGCATAACGCATTGTACAAGAAGTATCCTGTAGCCTATATTTAGGAAGGAACTCGATCGCGTATATTGTATGAAAATTATTCTTGGTGCAGAAGTGGGGACTTCTATAGGTATTTGTAAGGATATTCTTCTTGGTTCCTGATTTTTTCATAAGGATCCCTTTATCCGAAGCTACACTGAGATATTGGACTCCGGCTGGCTTTCCATATTTAAAATCCTTATCTATCATTCTATAAAGGATTCTGAAGGGTATCCCAAAAGGTATTGTATAAGTATATGGCACGTTTAAGGTATACAGAATGTGTCAAATACAGGTGGTCTTCTATAAGGTCTTCTACAGGGTATTGCAGATGGTATTCTATAAGGTATATGTAAGGTAGATCGGTGGAGTTGCATAAAAATACTCTATACGGTAGTCAAAAAGGTATTCTATAGGTTGTTCCACAACGTATTGTAAAAGGTATTCCATCGGGTGTGTATAGGTTGTTCCTGGATCCTAGATTCCACATTTCCTTCATATGAACCCTTTACCCTGTAAACAAACATTCAACTGGGGAGCTCTCAGGTCCTGGGTATAAAACTTTATATAGACTATATGGGGTAATATAGGGGGTATTTGAGAAAGTATTACCGTATTGTATATGAATTTCTCGGAGGCTCGTAGAGAGAGAGTATTCTATAAGGTATTCTACAGGTTATTCTACTTTATTTCTCATTTCTTTCATAAATATCCCTTCCTCAATAACTGCAAGATTTTCGGCTCCTTCTGATTTCCCCTTGATCAATCCTGATCTATGGGGTTCCTGTCGGGTATCCCATAGGGGATTCTCAAGAGTACAGATAGTATTCTATAAGGCTTATACAGGGTATATAAGAGAAGCAAGATACTTTATGAGCAGTCTATAGGGTATCTATAAAGTATTCCAAAAAAGTATCTGATAAAAGGTATTCTATAGGGTGTATACATAGGAAAAAATTCTATAAGGTATTCTAGAGGCTAACAAGTAGTCCATAAGGTATATATAAGGTAGACAAACTCTATATAGTACTACCTAGGGTATTTTCTATGAAGTTCCGGAAATTACATAGAGGGGTGTACTCTCTCTAAGGTACTTCTAAAGGATATGCTTTCATTAGTAGGTTCTTGCTGTACTTCATACGAATCCGTTACTCAATAAGCTACAGGCCAACTGGAAATTCTGAAATCTTCGGCTCCGACTGGTGTTCCATATTCAATATCTTTTCTATAAAGTCAATAGAACTTTAGGGTATTCTATGGGGGAGTTTAAAAAGTATCCTACAGGGTATTCTATAAGGTGTATACTGACAAGCAGTATCATACATGGTGCCCCCGATGTTTACCACGGGGGGACGCGCCGACATGATCACAAGGACTGGGATGAGTTAGGCGTACGAGAGTACTTGGTTTGAATCAGCTGCAGCTTGGGATGTCAGACATATATTATCGCGCAATCAATACGTCATGCACAGCAACCCGTTCCCTCATGCTCTCACGTTTCACGCAACTCAGCACGAGTGGCAGCTTCTGCTCTTATGAGCAAGCACTTGCCTCCGACATCCGGGGAGGAACCAAGGATGATGAACT